ATCAAATGAAGCATCAGGATAACAAGCTTATATAATAGATGAAAATAACTAAGTTTATATATGTTTGAGGATGTGGGATAGAATAGTTGAGAAAATAATAGAATAAAATAGTTGGAAAAATAAAAGATATGTAAACAAAGGATTTGTAAGAAGCAAGAATTGATCCTCAGACTTTTATTTCAATAAGTCAACACCTTAACTAGTACACTAGTAATTTGTTTGTGTTTATAAGTGAAAGGATGCGTATATATACTACATATAACGAATTTTTTCTAAAAAAATTACACTACCAAATTTTTTTTTGAAGGGTATCTCGGCCTACCACGTAATACTCCTTGGTTCCGCCCCTCTCTAAGGGGTGTTTGTATTGCTTATTTGAAAGGTTTTTAGTTTATAACAGTCTGACATTAGTCAAAAAAAGTTTAAGTAGTTAGAAAAAAAAAAGATTTCATAAACAACTATTAATTTAAATAATAACTATTTGATAAATACTTCATCTTCACTTATTGATTTATGAATTATTTAAAGAGTTTTTGATAAGTTATTTGTTTATTACACATATAAACATAATTGTTAAATACTAAAAAATAACTTATTAGTTTATTATATTAGACTATGTTTGACGTATTAGCTGAAAAATTAGTTGTTAGGTGAGAAACTACCTGATAGCTGAAAAACTAACCGATAAAAAATGATGTTTGGTAATACTAGCTGAAAAGTTAGTTGAAATATATAAAATTACATAAAAATACATTTAAAAGTATTTGTTTCTATAATTAATTAAGGGATATTCGAAATTAAAAAAAAAAAAAAAAAAAAAAAAAAAAAAAAACTCCTAAAAGGCTAGTCTAAGTAGTTTTTTAAAAAACTAGCTTATAAACTATTTTTTGGGTTGCCAAACACGACAACATTAAAAAACTCGAAAAATAAGTTAGCTTATCAGCTAGCTGTGGCGCGCCAAACATTATAAAAAAAATAATCAAAACTTTTTTTTTATTGAAAATTCTATTGTGATACAGATAAACTAATAAAAACTATTACTAAATAATACATAAGTTGATTTTCGATAAAAACCCTATAATAATAGTGTTTTAAACAAAAATCTTTCAATGAGAAGAAAAATACAAAATAATAAATAAAAAATGCTAACCATGACATGTCAAGATCACACATGCAATTAGACCCGACAATGAAGTGAGTTTGAAGTGGATCATCATTGATCAAAACCGATTAAGAAATTTTCAACTACTGATCTAAACCTGACCCATAAACTACAAGGCTTTGAATAATTAAACTCAAATCCTTATCCACTGGATCAATGAATTTTCAACCCTTTTATCCGACCCATTACATTATTAAAATTACATTATAATTGTGCATTACAACACATATAAAAAGAATCAATAAAATCACAAAACATTCATTCCAAAAACAAACTTCAATTATAGCTTAATAAATAATATTTGAAAAACAAAACAAATACCTACTATTGTAAACATACATGGAAAAAATGTAGACATCAAAATGCATCTTCAAAAAAACCTAAAGTCCAATAGATCCACTTAATCATTGATCACTTGAAAAAAAAAAAATAAACACACATAAGTATATATATTAAATTATTTCAAGTAAAAATTTAAGTAAGTTTTAGAGCTAGAGCAATATTTTTTTTTGTTTCCTTGAGAGGCATGTCATAAACAAATTGGATTGATAGTGATCCATACCTAACCCTTTTAATAAAATGGTTAATACGTGTGAGTCTTTAACTGATAAACGAACCATAAAATATGATCGAAACTCATAAACTTTGCATGAGTTTGGAGCGGATCAGGGTCAAAACCCGCTCCGTTGTCAGGTCTACTTGCAATTTACTCTAAAATCTATTAATAATCATTCTTTCTATCTTTACACTGTTTGATAAGTTTATTTCTTTATTTGAACCAGTTTACAGTTTATACTATCAATGAATTTTAATCTTTTCCCCATTTTTTTTTTTTTTTTTTTTTGAAAAATCTCATCTAGGCTTTTTGCTTTAGTTGCTATTTTGCTAACACCGTAACACGTAAACATGAATTGAAATTGTTAGAATTTCGACTAATCATGGGTAATTAGGTACTCGTTCTCAAAACAAATCCGTAAATAATTCCAAATGCATGTTAAAGACCGAAACAAACTTAATAATCTAATTAAATACTTAACACTAAAAATGTCACGCTCAAACTTTATAATATGATAGTAGTAACAACAATAAAATCCAAAATCCATAGGAATAAGTTCAGAGGGAGGTCTCATGTCGTCTATGATCAATCCATGAGATTGAAAAATTATTTTTATAGATGACTTTAGACATATAAAATCTCCATCTTAATCTTTAAATTAACAAGTAAGATTTACCATATCAGCTTAAGAAACTTTAATACAAATAGGACACATGCTATCAAAATTTTAAAAGGTAGAAAGCCCAACATCACATGGTTATTCAAAAATTTATCAAATAACCATCTTTGGTTATAACTTAATGACTCTTAAAATGGCAATTATATCAACTCGTTTTAACGCCAACATTACAGGTCAACTTGGAAATACTATCAATAATTTAACATGGTTTTTCGTATCTCAATCATTAGAAAACTAAAAAAAAAATGTTTAGAAAATTAGTTAACTTGTATTTCTTATTAGATACATATTTCCTTATTTTTTTTTTATTTGTGGAACAATAAGAATAAATAAAGAAATATTTGAAACTAAACAATCAACAACTTGAAGTAATAAGTGTAAGTAAAAAACTAAAAATGCAAATCAATATATAAAACCAACCAAGAAAATATATTACATCGAAACCTTTTCGAGACCTCATAAGATTTTTAGATCAGAAGGAATACAATTAATGAGTTGGGAATATTTATTTTTCCATTTGAAACTAAAAATAAAAAGCATTGAAAATAAATGATAAAGAAAGTTAAATAAAAAGTAGCTTTTTTATATAGAACAATTAAAGTCGAAAAGACATGTATTATTTCCCACAACTGTCGTTTGTCAAGAAGACAAAAACCTCATTTATGCAATGCTTCATTTTTTGACACACTAAACAAAACCCAAATTAGACCGGAACTTGCAATTGTCCGGATCCAGCTGGCAATGTCACATGGAGCAACACTTTAAAGACTCGGTCAACGTTTTCTATTTTATAATTATTAATTTTTCTTATAATTTAGTTTGCTACTATCCATGCAAAGAAATATCGAATAAAAGATCCAATTCACATATATATTTAAAAATTACGAATCTACCACATTAGTAAAACTATAATCTAATAACTCCATTGAAAATTTACGGAATTATAATTTATAATTACCTATTTCCAGTGTACGAATTGGATCGTTTAAGAGCTGGAAGTGGTTCCCTTTTTGTCTCAATTAAACTCCCACTGAAATATTCTTTATCCTCTGTCACAATCTGTTTTTTAATTCTTCGGTTTTTCCTCAAAACGACAGCGTCCTCAACTGTTGCTTCCTCTGATCCGGTGTTTCTCACACGTGGCAGCATCCTTGACTTGTAATGTGAAACCAACGAAAAACCCGGGTTGTCTTTTCCGTATGCGCCCGGTCCACAGTCCCGGAAGGAGATCGAACCGCATGAGATCAGCTGCATTAGGACGGATGATGCTTTTATCTTGTTATTGGCCGTTGGATCTGTTTTCTGGTTTTGATCTTCTGTTTCTGGCCGTAGGATTAGGAGCTTACCGTCGGCTTTCATCAACGACTCTAGGGTTTCCGGGCTTGAATCCGACGGCGGAGGTGAAATAATCTCTTCTCTGCTCAGTTCTGAACTCTCGTTTTCGTGAAACGATGCTTTTGATTCCTCTTCTTTGATTTCTTCTTCGTCTTCTTCTTCTTCTCTGATTATTGATCTCCTGCGACGGCGTTTATCGTCGGTTTGAGTTGAGGCGTCGGCGGCGAGTTTACCGGCGGAGGAATCGCCGGTGTAGACTTTATATTCGTGGAGGTCGATTGCGCTCCATGACTGATTCCTCCTACGCCTAACAACCGGGAAATCATCGTCAACGGATTTTCCATAGTCCGGAGATAGCGTGTTTTTCGACATGGATGACACATGTGTCTCGGATTTGGAGTTTAACGAGGCTCCTCCGGCTACAACGAGCTCCGATCCTTTCAGAACGTACTCTTGGCCGTGTGCTGGGTAAATGTAATCATTCTCCGCCAAATCGTGCCATACGAATCCGTTTTTGTAACTCCTGTAACACAGAATTTGAATGAATTAGCTTTCAGGAAGCAGTAATTACATACGTATAACCAGAAACTCACGAGTCATAATCACTTTCAGGATCTAAACATATCGTTGAACTAACCTTTTGGAAGACCATGAGTACAATGCCGCCATTCCTTTTCCACGGAGAGAATTCAGGCGATCGATTACATCTGCAAGACATTTCCAGAAGAGTTTCAGCAGATTAAAAAATTTATCATAACATAACTTAAATGCAGCTATTCCTTCTCCTCAGAGAGAATTGAGGCGATTTCACCAAATCTATAAGAATACATCAGATCACAACTTATTCTCCTTAAACCTCTCTATCGAGCATTTCAAATCACAAACAGTTGCTAAATTTTTTTCAACTCACCTCGCAGATAAAGGCCGTCGGAGGAGGAGAGAGGAACCTCGATAAAATGAGGATGTTCAAGGTTGCCGTTCCTGGAGAGATAGTAAACGACGGCGACTCTACGTGGTCTATTATTGTTCGGAGGTGGTTCGGTCCAAACTTTGGTGTGCTCAGGGCTGCGTTGAGCACTTCTAGGATCCTTCCATTTCTTAGACATGTGGTGAAGCTCCGTCGTCGTCCTCCCGGACCTCGAAATCGCCTCCATTGAAAAATCTTCTTCTGGAAATGGATGAAAATGGAAGAAAGAGAGGTGTGTTTATATGTGTCTCTGTGTGAGTGTGAAAGGAGGGAAGGTGTGCGATTAATTCAAAATTGGCCGATGCAGACGACAGACTACCAAACAAGAAAGGACTTGAGGAAGGCCGTGGCTACTCTGCACTGGACACTGGTGCAACTTATTGATTTTAAATTACAGAATCCAGAAAGAGTATATGCTTTAGCTGTTTGTACATTGTGAATTAAAAATTGTACGGGGTTTTGTGATCGTATTCTTTGAGGTCTGGCTCATAGGCTAACAGCCTAAATGTTTTGCTTATTTTGGTATTTTATTTGATTTACAAGATAATTTCTCAGCTGTTCAAAAACTTTCCAAAAAGATGTTTAGATTCATTAAATAAGTCAAATCATTATGGGGGTATTTATTTATTTATTAATTAGATTGAAATAAAAATATAAAAGATATAATGTATATCGCCCATAAAATATTATAAAGTTAAATTTTAATATCATATTCAAACTATATGCTTTAAATTTGTAATTATATAAATAGTTATCAAATTATTTAACGAAAGTCACGACCCTCTAGGTTACAAATAACGGGATCTTAAATCATATGGCAACTCATGTGGAATGTGGTTCTTGGGCTGAAATTGTCCGGTGGGCTTGGGGTCGGATCCTTGGCCTCACTTAACTGAGCCCATCTGACAAAATGGTTATGGAGGTTTAATGCGAAAAATGACACTCTTTGGAAGCGAGTGATTGATATTATTCATAGATGTGAAAGAAAACATATTCACTCTTAGGCTAAAAAACTCTTTCCCGGGTACTTGGAGTAGTATTGTCAATGTCTTCTCGACTTTTGACAATATTGTTATTGATTTTTCAGATATTTTTGAATTTCAGGTGGGGGATAGCAAGAAAATTCTGTTTTTGCTAGATGATTGGCTAAAGAACGGAACTTTGGTAGTGAAATTCCCTTCTTTATATGCGTTAGACAAGAAGAAAACTTGTTTTTTAAGTGATAGATGGGCTGATGGTACTTTCTCATGGGCTTGGAAGAGGAAACCCAACAATTCTCAAGAGTTGCTGGAATTGAACTCTATTGTGGATATCACAAGGTTTGTTGTGAGCTCCAATGGGTCTGATACTTGGAGATCGAGGTTAACTGTCGATGGTTCTTTTCGTGTGTGTGATATTAGGGCTCTCATTGACAGTAAATTGACCGTCCCGGTAAATAACCTCACGGTTTGGCTTCACTTAGTTCCTATAAAGTGCATTAGTTTTGTTTGGAGAGCTTGTATGAGGCGTATTCCTATGGCAGTGGCTCTTTCCAAGAAAGGTATCAACCTTTCTTCTATTTCTTGTAAAATGTGCTTTATGGGGATGGACGTTGCGGATTATATTCTCTTGGATTGCCCGTTTGCTTTTGAATCACTGGGCTGGATTTTCAATTGGTGTGACATTCATGTACATAGGTTCATTTCGACTTCAAATTTTGTTAATTTTGCTGCCTCATGGGGGAACTATCCAAAAAAGAGGGGAATATTTATTGCTATTTGCTATGGTTTTCTGTGGTGTATGTGGAAAGCAAGGAACGATATTTGGTTTAACATAATTAAAGTGAACCCTTCAAAGTTGGCGGATAATGTGATTTCTCTGGTGTTTAGTTGGTTCAAATATAGGGGTAATTTTGGAAATTGTAGATGAGAATGTTGGGTTTGTTCCATGTTTGATATTTTATAAGTTGTTTTGTTTTTTCTTTTGTACCTAGTCTTTTTCTTTTTGGTTGTGGTTTTAATAATATTCGCCGGTTCCAAAAAAAGCTCATGTTAACAAAATCCTAAAGTATATGTACAAATAGGATACTTCAAAACTCTTTTCAAAACTATACATAAATTTTTATCAAAACAATATATATTCAAAAATGATTGTGTAACATCCCAAAATACGACCCAAAAATTTTTGTTTAACCATGACTAAATCATTATATCAATATCATAAAATAAAACTCATACGTCAATATCTCAAAACCATAATAAAGTATCATGAGAAAACTGTATCAAGATTGTATCGAATCATGTCTACGAAAAGCTGAATCGACTCCCAGGACAAAAACTGAAGCGGTGGTGTATGCGATGACATCATCCCGAGCTCTTCCCTTTACTTGTGGAAGTACCTGAAACGAAAACTGAAACTGTACACACGAAGCTTAGTGAGCTCCTCCAAACTACCACATACCATACAATATCATATAAAGCACATACTGGGCCTTGCCCACTGCATCGGACCGAAATCTGGAAACTGCATTGGACCGAAGTCCGGAACTAACCAGGGCCTTGCCCTCTGCATCGGACTGAAGTCCAGAACTGACTGGGACCTTGTCCCTTGCATCGGACCGAAGTCCAGAACTAACTGCATCGGACCGAAATCCGGAACTGACTAGGACCTTGTCCCCTGCATCAGACCGAAGTTCGGAAACTGCATCGGACTGAAGTCCGGAACTGACTGGGACCTTGTCTCGTGCATTGGACTGAAGTTCGGAAACTGACTAAGCATAACATAGTATAACATAAACATATCAACTAGCATAAGCACATATAATGCATACTACATCAGACCGAAGTCCGGAACACATAACACAAAACATGCTTGAATCACAAAGACATCAAGCAATCTAACTACTGTATCATACCGAGGTCTAGAGCTACTGCTAACTAAACAGGCCAGCATTGTGGCCATAAACCCGTTCCTATTGGAAGGAAACTCACCTCGTAGTCTGGCTGCTGAATGAATTGCTCTGGAAACTATCTGTTGCTGCTCCGGTATCTCCTCGGCTACAATTTCCATAAGTACATTCAATCAAATACTTATAACTATACTGAGGGTAAAATGACTATTTTACCCCTGGTCATAGTCAACCTCTTGGTCAAAGTCAACATACAGTTGACCTGACTAGCCGAGTTAGGCCGCCAACTCATCGAGTCCCTACTCTCATTTCTCGTTTCTGCTCGCTACTACTCGTCGAGTTTGGTGTAGACTCGACGAGTTCCTCTTCGATACCAACACTTAGTCATTCTGCATCCGACTCGCCGAGTTGTATGAACCACTAGTCGAGTTCTCCTTCAACATATGAACACTCCGACTGTGACTCGTCGAGTTGTATGAACAACTCGCCAAGTCTATTCTTAAGATATGAAGATTGCCTTGGACTCGCCGAGTCAAGGCATTGACTCGCCGAGTCCCTCCATGAATGAGTCCGATCTCCGACTCATTGAGTCCACTTATAACTCACTGGTTCCACTCGGCATAATACATGAAAAGGGGAAAACTCGGGGACTCGTGACTCGACTTGCCGAGTCCGAAGAACGACTCGCCGATTCGGTTGCATGCAACTTCTAAACAGTTGATTCTACTCAAAACCAATGCATACAACTTATAGATCTGGGGCTTGATTAACACATAAAGATTCTATCTTTACGTGTGTATAAACATCCATAAAGGTTTAAAGGCTCAAAAGGCACTTAAAAGAGTAGATCTAGGGCTTTCATGCAAAATGGCTCCATAAAGGTATTAGATCTAAGTTTTTGGAACTGAAACATGGCTAGATCCGAAGGCTACTCAACCCAATACGATCTCTCTACTATAATCAAGATAAGAAATGGATAAAATAGCCTAAATGTGATTTCTAATGGAGAATCAATCATAGAAATCGAAGGAACCTGATTAGTACCTCAATGAACTCTATAGTGGGTGCAAGATCTTGGATCTCCTTCTACTCCTTTGGATCTAGCTTTCTTCTTCTATTCAAAACTTCAAGATTCACACAAGAAATGCTCAAAAAGCTCAAGGAATGGTTAGGGTTTGCTAAATGACGCTCTGAGGGTGAAGGAGGCGAGTTTGGGGCTCATAACATGGTTTAAATAGGGTGCAAAACCCGTGGATCTAGGGTTTCTTCCAGACTGGCCTACACGTCGAGTCTAGGTGCGGACTCGCCGAGTAGATCACTTAAAACCCGCGTCCAACTTGGCATCTACTCGACGAGTTAGGGATACTACTCGCCGAGTAGCTCTTTATAAAAGACATTTAATGAATTAATACATACCAGGAATGGGCATTACAGATTGTCATGAAGGCAAACACATAAAAATCAAGTCATATGATATCAAAGCCAAAACCAATACATCATATATATATAATATCAAAACTGTAGCCAAAAGATGATGTATAATATAGAAACCAAAACATAACGTATAATATAGGGACATGTACAAGCTAGTTATGGATAAGAATACTTGGTTTTACTCTTGTTATTAAGTAATTTATGTTTACCAAATGTTCCTTAGTCACAATGACTCCAAAACACTCGATACTTATCACTAGAGTACCAATGGAGGTAAACGGAAGCGAAACGGAACCCGAAAGATCAAGACATAAAGGCATGTTAAAATCCTTAGAGGTCACACAACCCACGTAGATTAGAACATTAAAACCACAAGGTCATTGCACTAGAAATTCATAGTTTTTCTTATCAGGGCGATATACTTTGTTATGAGTTCCAATGCTCCAAGTGTGACACCAATGGACTCTTTAAGCACTTAAATATAATTATAAAACTTCTAAACCAATTCATGATGTAACATCCCAAAATTTATGACCAAAATTGTCGTTTTGAACCATTAAATAACACTATAATTATCAAACCATTCCATCAAAACATGAGTCAAAGTATTTTAAAACATTATTATCAGAGTTTCCAAATCAAAACATCAGAGTAAACATCTCAGGCTAAACATCATGGTGTATGCAATGCAGTCATCCCGAGCTCTTCTCTTGCAAACTGGAAGTACCTGAAACCAAAACTGAAAATTGTAAGCACGAAGCTTAGTGAGTTCCCCATATTACCACATACCATACACATAATCACATATACTGGGCCACTGTCCCTTCCTCGGGCCCCTCCCAGCATCAGATGGTGTCCAGCATCAGGCCCCACCTGGCATCGAGCCTCGCTCGGTATACATATTTGTTTCTTCCAGGCCCCGCCTGTCTCTAGACCTCGCCCGTTATACTCATACAAACAATATCATATAGTCATACTAGAACATAAAGAATCATACACAACACTATATGCTTCAGTCCTAAGGCCTTGCCTATCATGGGCTCGGACCCTACTCTGCTAATGTTAAAATATGGAACCTCATCCATACTCAGCTAGTGATGGGATATGGGCCCTTGCCCACACTCACCTCCCTACCAGGCACATACAAGTATCACACAGACAACAGGTATAATCTAACATGCAAACATTCCGCGAGCCCCGCCGGAAACGGACCTTGGTCCAGAAAAACATACATATAAACATTCCTCGGGCACCGCTCGACATCGGACCGTAATCTGGAACAAACAACTATTGAGACATGCAAGAATCACAAAGATCTCAAGCATAACAAACATTCATCGGGCCTCGCCTGACATCGGATCATAATCCGAAAACACATAACATACATACGGGCCGACATCGGTGCCTTCGACCCGTTCAAACAGGAGGAAACTCACCTCACACTGCTGAAGTCCTGCAGATAATCCCCTGGCTGCTAGCTGGCAAATCCCCAAACTGCTGGTCCTCCGGCTCCCCGAGCTACTAATCATCATACAAACCAATGGGCTCTACTCAACCCTTGGCCCAAAAAGATAAACATTCCTACAAGGCCCAATATATGGCCCATTTTCCAATTGGTCCTAACCCCTCTCATGGGCCTTAACTAAAGGCCCAATAATGCTTCTCTAATCTAAATGTTCAATTCCAGATGTCCCACCAAGGCCCAAAGTAGCAAAGTCTAATAGATGGCCCAAACCGAGGTCCACTTGAGCGAAACCCACTCTGACTGAGTATGCGGGACGTACTTAGCTATACGCAAGGCGTACTGGGCTTGCAACTTGTACGCTGTGCGTACCAGCTTACAAGCCCAATGTACTCCCCTATTAATCCCTTTTTGCTGTTAAGCACTTAATGCTTCAACTTAATGGTCCAGATCAAATATATGAGTTCCTCTTAGCGTCTAAATCCATAAAGTCACTGACTTGGTGACTTTTCATGTCCCACATAAGCCCAAACTTCAAAAATGGTATTGCACTTCCATGAAACGTCTAACACATGGGACCTAGTCTAAGGACTTTCATCGGGGAGACAACACATGATTCGGGGATTCCTTATCAATTCATGTCAAATAAGGCAACCATGCGGGGGATGGAGTAATACTAGTAAACACACAGTTCAAATAAACACCTAAAAAGTTGCGAGTCTGCAAGCGTTCCACTGGACTGTCTAGAATAGTCTGTGGTCGTCATTTATACTCCGCTAGATGACTAGATCATCAATAAAATCTATAACGAGGCCTCTCATTATTTTATTTGGTCACACAACAACTATTACATCTACCCATGTTTTACCCAACACATTTTGTAGATATAAAATATATATACAGTTTAAGTCAATTAAAACATGTATAAAATTGCTCATCCAGCGTATATAGCAAGTATACAGATAATATGCACACACAGCACTATATAAAATACTTCATATCTATGTGTAAGATGAAAGTAACTATGCACTCACATGAGAAGGTGGTGACTCGGCACTTGGACAACACTTCGTTACTCTTAACACAATTTTCCTTCGGCAAAACCTAGTATCATTACCACTAGGG